ATAGACATACATCGGTTGAGTTGAGTCCCAAACCAAACGCTGTGATGAATACCAAATCCTTTGAATGTAATCATTATTATCGTAGACAACACGCGAGCGATAGTCGATAATAAAAATATTATGTTTTTGTTTGTGTATAAAATTCTTACTTCTTATATATTAAGACTGTAACATTCTATTTTTGTTATTATAATATTATGGTGATTTGGTATAAAATAAATATTTTGGTAAGTCCAATCACGTCCTACTTTTATTTTACATTTATAAATCATATTTTTAATTATGTTAATAACGGACACAAAATAACATTCAAGATGATTTAGAATAATTACTTGAATACTTCCTAGGACTGTAACAAAATTAAAATGTATGAAAAATATTACATGATATTTTAACATAATAAATTTTATGGATTGTACTACTTGTATCAATTTTATCAAATTAATAATTAAATTAAAATCATAGTCTCTAAATATTAAAACAATTTTTATCATTTGTTATTTAAAATTAAATGCATAAAACTTAAATTTTAAAACTAGTATTATATGGAAGTCTAAGTATGCATCAAAAACATACAATACAAATATTTAAACAATGTACATTGTGTATCATTGTAAATGTTGACGACAAAACTATTGTTATTGTTGAATACGAGTATATTAAATACTAGATCAATTGAATGAACTACAATATAATGCATGTAACTTTACAGTATAATACAGAATTTACATTATTGTATAAACTTTACAAAGTGCAATAATTATTTGTCCAAAAGCATTAAGGTTTTTTTTGAGGAATATCCTGTGAGTTTACATTAAATTTTAAACATAATTTTATTGCATATTAAATCATTATATTGCTTATGACATTTAATTTAACAAATTTATTTACTATTAACATGGACAAATTAATAAAGTATTTTAATTATCTAATACTGAATCGTGTTTCTTAAATCTAAACCGCATTTAATGTTACATAACCAAATGTTAAATAATATTTTCGTTTAATTTTATTAAAAATAAAATCTAAACAATATTTATTGCAAATTATTTTCATTGTTTTTAATGAATTTTTACAGTTATTAGCAAATAAATTTATATTCATAAAACAGATATGACATATTAAACAATTAATTAATCTATATAAAAATGTTTTATGCTACATAAATATACAGTTTTATATGAAAATGTTAATTGACAAAATATTAAAAACATCAAGTGTGTAATTATAGACAGACACGTTATAAATATAATTACTACTAAATCTATGTATTTAATTAAATATTGCATTAAATTATATTAATAATTGTCAATTAATAAAAATACTTTTATGTTGTTTATAAATTGTTTGTTAAATACAACTTGTTTGCAAAAATCATTAATGTCATTTCACTTACAAAACTAATTAAATAGTGTTAACAATTTGTCATTACAACAAAATATGTATAATCTTTGCATAAGATTAATGTATGAACTTTATTATTTTATAACTAAATTTTATTAATGACATCTCATTAAAACTTTTGTATACCACCTTAGTTTAATTTGCTTATAATCATGAACGTAAAGAATTGTATCTTTTTAAACAATGTTGATGTTTTACCACATGAACCAAGCTCGCTTATTTCTAGTAATTATAGTAATTTCACTTGTAATATTAGATATCCAATCAAACACAATCAAGTAAATATATCGTATTTTTGTAACTATAATTTTAACTGTAAATATATAAATTTAATTTAATAGTATTTACAATTAAATACAAGTTTATTTAAAATATGCCATGAATTCGCGTTAATTATTCATTTATTATTCAATTATGTGAAATGCAGGTAAATATAAAATATATTTAATTAAAAATAGCATAAATCATAAAATATTACTAGTTAATAATTATCTATTACATATAATTATAACTATCACTTTATTGATATAAATTCTAAATATTAATATTTTACAAATGGAGTAATAATTTAATTTATATTAAATATTATTATTATTATTATTATTATAGCATAACATTTGTGCGAAACAGCAATCACCATGAAGAGATTGGGGGTGTTTTATTGCCAAATGGCAGTTGGACTGGTATTATGTCTAAAATTAACCATAATGTATTATATAAATTTGTATATTTCATTAATAACAATTTTTCAAGAATAATACTAAAACTTTATATTTAATACAGAAAAGCGATGTGGCTAATACCTACATGGTTTGTACGTATGATAGGTTATCAATAAGCGAATTATTGTACCCTATCAGAGTTATTAATCTAATCACCATATTATCGACCGAGGTGCAACTCGTAGGCAAATTAACCATGTTAGACACTTTTAGTACAATACTATGGATGTCAATAGTTGTGGCGTTAGTTATTACTACGATAATAACTGTTGTTAACCAATATATAATGCATCGTAAAATTAAAAAGTATTTCAATACAATTAAGGTTACTTTTGATATTTTACTTGATTATACTTTGGTGTTATTGGGAAAACGTAAGTTGTTTAAAACATTATAATATATTACCTACAATTTTAATAAAAATTATAATTAAAGCAATCATAAGCAAATATGCACGAACAAGGTCATTCGCAAATATTGTGTATATATTATGGATAATCAATTGTGTTTTTCTAAACCAAATGTTTTTCAATGGTTTTCTATCAAATCTGGCAAACATTCCGGTGTTTACCATAAATTCATTGCAAGACATTGTGGATACTAATAATAATAACCAAGAGTTGACTGTATTAACCGAAATGCGAGATTATGTCTATCAGGTTTACCTTAATGTAAATAAATATTTAAATACGATTTGCTGAAAATATAATTATAAAAATTTTGGATAATGTTAATTAATGTAATCTTATATAAGTTACTAAATACTATCATATTTATATTTAGAATAAGTACCCTGAGCTAAATTACCTAAATTATAATGAACGCGATTTGTACACGGTCGATTCTCTTGGGAGTATACTCGATGGTGAATCAGTATTTATAGGCAGCGAATTGTCTGTCGATGATATAATTACGTTAAATACAGGCCTACCTCTCCATAAGTCCACCGAGAATACAATGTTAGCCATATCTGGTCTATTGGTCCGTAAAGACCTCAACCCATGGGTTAAACAACGATTCAAACAAAAGTGATTAAATAAATCTATATTTTATTAAACATTTATTAAATATTAATTATGTTTATTGTTATTTTTATTTAGATTTACATTAATGGTTGAGACAGGTTTATATATGTGGCGATTGAACGTAGACAAAATCATTTTTAGAACTGAACGTACATTATATGAAATAAAATCTAACTCTCATATTAAATCTGTAGATTTAAATGTGGGTAATTTCCATGAGATAAATCTTATTGATATGCACATATTATTCTATATATTAATATTTGGCTTATTATTTACAATGGTTGTAATAATGTTTGAAATTATTTGTTTTCATTATATTGATGTTAGATAAATACTGTTAATATACTGTCAATAATATTATTTTAAATTAATATTAAATATTTTTATGATTAAATAAATAAATATTTGTATTACAAATTTTATTACATTACCATGCTATAATTTTTTAACCTGTTTGTAATTTATATATAGTATGTTTAAAATTATTGTTCAAAATCATCTGTGTGGTAAAACTCAAATAGAATTAAAAGTTTAGTCAAAATTAAATGCATAAAACTTATATTTTTAAAACTATTTTTATATTGAAGTTTATCCATCAAAAACATATAATACAAATATTTAAACAGTGTATATCATTGTAAATGTTGACAATAAAATTATTGTTTGAGCTAACATTTTGTTTGATTCATGAATACGAGTCTATTAAATACTAGCCCAATTGAATGAACTACAATATATTGCATGTAAAGTTACTTTACAGTATAATACAGAATTAACATTATTGTATAAACTTTACAATGTACAATTATTATTTGTCCAAAAACAACTTTATAGTTTTGAGGAATATCCTGTGAGTTAACATTAAATGTTAAACATATGTTTATTGCATATTAAATCATTATGTTGCTGTGATTGCATTTAATTTTAACAGATTATTTCCTATTAACATGGGCAAATTAATAAAATAGTTATAATTATCTGATACTGAATAGTGACTATTAAATCTTAACCGCATTTAATGTTAAATAACTGCTAAAAATACATTAAATAAAATGTTGTTAAATATTTTAAACTTATTTACCCGTGTTCATTGCATAATTAATTAATTATGAAATAGTTGCTAGATTAAATTACTAATTAATATTCATCAAACGTACCAAAAGTTGCACAAAACTTGATACCTAATATCACATGTTATTCAACACATTTCAACACTATTTGGGTTTGTATTATATTTCAAGGATTTATGTTTTTATTCAATATTTATTTTATACCAAACATTATTTTACACAAAAATCTATTAACAGCATAATATTTTGTGGATTAAAACATTTCAAAAAATGTTATTTTAATCTCAATTTCTATCCCCAAAAAATATGTGCAAATATAAAATTAGCACAAATAATGTGTTTGATATACAGTATATTATAGTTTGTGCTAAATAATAATAACCATCATGGTAATAATCAACGCGTATTACTTAATAAATGCTAGTAAAATATTTAATATTTTGCACCTGGTGCTATTAATCACCGCAACCACAACCACCTACAGTCAACTCCAGGACAACTCCCCTCCCGGTGCCTGTTATGGAGATTTAGGCTGTTTTAACATCACCGCCGACTTTAAGCACCTGATGTACCGGCCATACAACGTAATGCCTGAGCCACCGGACAAAATAAAGACCAAGATCTTTATGTATACCCGTATTAAGCCTACCAAACGGCTCCGGGTGAGCGACCAGTGGCTTGTTTACAGGCAATCGAGGCAGGCTACTTTTTTGCCTGATTTTGATGGTAGTAAAAGGACAATGGTTATTATTCATGGATTTGTTGATAACTTATCGTATGGTAAATGGATTACGCGATTAAAGGATGAGTTACTTATTAATGGCGATTATAATGTGTTTGTTGTCGACTGGTCTGAAGGCAATGGTATTTATAGTAATTGTGTTTTTGTTAATAACATTTAAAAATTTTAGTTAAAATAATAATATAATAGATAATAATATAATTTATATTATAATAATTAGATAATAATATTTAGTTATATTATAAGTGAGTGATAAGTTATCACTGATAACGGAAAACATTATTTATAAAGTTTACAATTAAACTGTAAATTTATTAACACCAATATATTATAAAAGGATAGATAAAATAAATGTAACTTTGTTGGGTTACAAGTGTCTGGCATTATTTTTAATTAATTCAAACTAAAATAAATATAACTTAATTATTAAAATTTTATAATGATTTAAATAAGAATTTTTAACATTTATATTTTGTTCTGCATTAAATCATTTGATTAAATTTACCATTTGATTACTTTTTATTTTACAATTAAACTGTAAATGTATCGAAACTAGTGTATTTTAATAGACTAGGTAAATAAATGTAATTTGGTTGGGTTCAAGGTTTAGAAGCAATAATTTGTAATATTTATATTCTATACTGCATTAAATTATTTAAATAAATTTGACAATTAATTAATTAATTAATTAGTTATAAATTTATCCTAATCAGTATTAAACATTATAATCTAGTCATATAAAAATTTTATTATTTATTTGAATCATTATATTTAAAATAACTTAAATAAATATTTTTAATTAAGACAATCACCATAATCACTTTTTAAAAATTAACAACCTAGGGCTGCCATACTCACAAGCCGCTGCCAATAGCCGATTGGTGGGCGCGCAAATAGCTTTGTTAATTAGAAATTTAAATGTGAGTAATCAAATAAAATCTACATTTTTAATTTACTTTAAATATATTTATAATAAATATTACCTCGAACATTAAAGAGCACACACAAACTTAAATACTCAAATTGTCACCTAATTGGGCACAGTCTGGGTGGACACGTGGCAGGCTATACTGGACATCATTTAATGAGTTTATCCAAGGATAATAAACTTGGTCGTATTACTGCACTGGACCCTGCGCAGCCATTTTTTCAGTAACATAACTATATTACGTTTAAATCTACAGCTAGTTTATTAAATTACTCAACAAATTATCGTGATTATTTTTAGAAATATGCCCAGGTCTGTTCGTCTGGATAGTAGCGATGCCACGTTTGTCGACGTTATACACACCGATGCCAATCCGTTTCTAACACGTGGTGGTCTGGGAATGAGCCAGGCCATTGGCCATATTGATTTTTATCCTAATGGGTTAGTAGTCTAGCTTTATTAAAAATAAACAATAAAGTTACGTAGTTTTAAAATATTTAATAATAAACCACATTAGTGTATACTAAATTAATTCAATCTAATAATTTATGTAAATAATTATTAAAATTAATTATAATCTAATGTATATGAACCAATTATGTGTATTTCCAAAATGTTTTGATTAATATTAATACACAAAAAGTTAATCATGACAGTTTATTAAACAATAAACTTATAAAACATTTTAAGCAATCTAGCTGCAAAAATTACATCCTAGACCAGCACTTAGGGTTATCATAATCTAAAGCATTTAATCTTAACCTAGCTTAAATATTACAGAGGCAGCGATCAACCTGGTTGCACCCAGGACAAAATACAATCATTTTTGAACGGTGGCTTTATGGAGGGCACTCGACAGTTGGTGGCGTGCAATCATCTCCGGCCCACCGACTACTTCATTGAAAGTGTTAACCCAAAGCCCAATGCGAGCCAATTATGCCGATTCAGGGCCCACTCGTGCGACTCATGGCAACGCTTTTCTATGGGGAAGGGATGCGACGGTTGCGGTCGCGCGGGTCGACTGTGCGCTCAAATGGGCTTTCATTCGGTCGACTGGTTTAGGAATCGCAGGAATTCCAAGA